TGTTGACCACCCTTCATGATGCCATACATGGACAGAAACAACTTTGACTGACTGGCCAGTCCATCGGTCTTATTCAAGTAAAAGCACTCTTACTCTGGGACTTACCGCCCAGCAGATCCTCTATTCAGCTAAGTACAGGAAAGGTCCTCACCGGCCTTTTCGCACAGATTATTTATGGCTCTGTGTCTGGTTTGTATCTGTCGTATAAGTGTCTTGACGACAGAGTGAGAGAGCACCAGTGGCTGCGCGTGTAGTGTGTGCGCTTGAGTGAATCGTCGGACTTCCGTGGCAGCACAGCGGCAGCGTCTCACATCGCTGCACTGACAGGTCAGTGAGACAAGTCCACTCCATCAGAAAACGACGCACCTCTGTTCTGTTCCTCTGCCGGCAGGCTTGATGCTAAACTTCGACAAAGCACTCAGGCCAAAGGAGATTCAGCAACTGCTGATGGAAACAGCTGACGATATGGACGGTCAGTGCCCATGTGCAGTCGGGGTGGTGCTTGTATCGCTCTCCCTGTGCTTGATCCAGATCCCGCTACAGCCCAGGTTGACGAAGGGTTTGACTCTAAGACAGGTCAGGCAGCTGAGCAGAAGAATACGGAGGGCCTGGCCCATCGCAGTGTCATCTCTCTGTGTGCGACAGGCTCCGGCTTTGTCAATGCCGAACGAGTGTTCGAGAGGCTCAGCAGTCGCCCACGGTCGGGGGTATAAGTAACGCCTTCATTATGTCGAGCATGGCCGCGACACTGTCTGTGTCGCTCTCTGTGCCGATCTTTGCTTTTATGGTGTCTATAGCTCATACATGTGACTTGCGCCGTTTGAGGCATTTGTGTTGGTACTCTGTCCGCATGCTTCTTCACTGACCTTCGTTTCTATTTTTCGTTTTCCTTCGTTTCGTATGCTGGTGGGACAAAGTTTCATTCTGCATAGATCAAATCACTGGCTACTCGTGGCTCGGCTCGGCCCTTCGGGCCTCACCTTCGCATAGTTTAAGCCTCCCCGGGGCACCAACCAGTGGCCCCCCACACACATCGAATTTTTTGGACTGGCAGCAACAGAAAAGGCATGCGCAGGGTGGCATAGTGGAGAGCCCAGATATTTACCCACTATGCCCACTGTAAGACCACTATGCCCTGGAAGAACGAAGCGAGACTCAGAAAAAACGAGGAACTTCTTGATGTATCTCCTTTGACATACCACCGCCCCATTGTGGCAGAATTTTATGTGGGCAATTGTGGCAGGTCGGGTCCTTGCAGAGATAACTATGCGGTTTCAGCTGCCAATTTGATGATTCGGGACCGAAAGGCTTGTCAGAGACACAATCCCCTTCTCAGACAATTTTGCAGGCAATGGTGTGGGCCTAGAAATCACCTTCAGACGACGGACGACAGCGTGGTGCGGTTTCTCTGGGCTTCTTTGCCCTGTGTCAGGAGCAAAACCACCATGTGCGTTGGCCGTTTGGGAGCAACGGATATCTCACTGTGTTGAACATTTTGCTTCTGTTAATTCCACACGAGGGAAGAACCATCTTTATACCAATGTAGGAATACAAACGCAGACACGCACACAACACGCACGTGTGTTAGCAATTTGTCGAAGCAGCGATCGGTACAGATACCGACAACGGTACACAGCGGAAAAATTTTGTATGCAAAGAGAGAAGGCGACAAAGCTTTGTATGTAAGAGTAGGGAACAGAAATCTACACGTGACACTACCTAATGAACGCAGGAGAAGGTTCAGTGATCTCAGATATTAGAGACAAGGGGACTCATGGCAATCCAAACACTGAGTGAGTAGACAGATTTCAACGTTCACTTGCGAGTGGCGAGCTCGTTGAATGCCCTGGGTGCGTTCACAAATCCAAAGCCTGCAGGCCATTTCAGTAAGTGCATTTGTCTCGAATTGACGAGCTGTATCTGACCCGTCTTATTATCTCTTCCTTGGTCAAATCCTCTGGTCTCGGGATCATTCATGTCCCTTGCGGTCCGCGTCAGAATGGATCTGATCTGCCCGGGCGTCAGCGTGCGATCGAAGTCCCTCAAAAGCGCAGCCAGGGCAGCAACATGCGACGCCGAAGATGCTGTGCCCGTGAAGCCCCCCCCATAACCCACTTCGTTGGTTGACACCCCATCAGGTCCGACCACAGCTGGGGTGCTGCGAAGCTTCGGCTCAGTGCGGTCGCCCTTCGTGTCAAGCAGAATTGGAAAGACCCCTGAACGAAACGACCAATTCAGCGCCCTCAAGAGAATCAGTCAGTTCTTGCCTCGTGACGAAGTGCTGCGAATCAGGGGAGGGTCCACACCAAATCGCGTCGTGCCCTTGTAGAAGCTCGACCCCACGGCAATGGCTCCTTTCGCAGCGGCACGCCTGGCCACACCCACACGATGCCGTAAGTCAAGACCACATGCATCCTCAGCAATTGGCAAGCCAGCCCGTGGATACCCGTAGATGGTGGGACCGGCGGGCACATTGGTGAAGTCGTCGCCAAACAGCAACCCGATATGTGAGGGGTCGGGTGCATTGCTGCAGTAAGTGTTGTACATGGGAGTCATGCCGGCAGCGCCGCATTCAATCACATACCCGCTTCTGCCCTCCACCTTCTTGCCCACCCGAAGAAACAGCCGGTCATACCCGGGACGATACATATACTGAGGGTATGTATCGCACGCACAAGAGACAACAGCGACAGAATCATCTCAGCCCTCTCTCGCCTTGCTTACTATCAGTCCTCCGCCCGCCGTGACTTCAATCGGGTCACCTCCCACGTTGTTTGAGATGGAGCGGCCAACCACGTCACCATCTTTGGTCATCACGATAATATCCAAATCAGTTGTTGCACCGCGATCTCCCGTCACGGAGAAATAGGGCTGGTCCTGATACAGACACACGCGCAAGACAGAGTCACGAATGATTTCTCCTTCCCACCCAGTTAAGTACGATGGGCCCTGTCCATCACATAGAAAGGCGAAGAGTGATTTGCGCCTTGAGGAAGTAGTGGCTACGCTACCTGGACAGCAGTCTCTTCCACCATAGTACGGCAACGTCTTCAGCGGAAGCTCGATCTTCCCATTGAGCTCAAACCGGTGCCACTCATACGTAATATTCGCTGGGGCATACACAGAACAGAGTGCATTGTTGTATGCACGATGCTCGCATTCGTCCACGCGTACCGAAATCAAAACGGGGCGCATATCTGGAATACAGGTCAGGCCGCCTTGCCTTAATCCTGACCCTCTCTCGGATCCCTGAGTTGTTGAACCTGTCACGCGCATCGATGACGGCGAGGCGACAAATATTTGCCGTTGAGAGCTCTCAAGGTCGTCTACCTTTCGAACAACCCGTTGCTTCAGCCAGGCACAGACAGACAGACAGACAGACAGGAGGGGATGGATGGATGAACAGGTGCACCAATGCACTCTCAACTCGTTGGCATCCCCTGCGGCCACAATGTATGCGGTGCCGTCCGCTGTCACACTATCAACGGCCTGCGTGATCCGTCCATCCTGTGCAGGCCACACATCTCACCATCACAGGAGGGTGATTGAGTCTGTGCCTGTCGGCCCGCCGAACCTGGAACATCGGTTCCGTCAGGAATGTGCGACCGTCGTCGACGAAGATTGAGCATCCAGCCTTCTCCTTGAGTTTCTTGATGCCATTGACCATCGCAGCTTGGCCGCCATATGCCGTGAATTGGGCAAATTCGGGTAGGCCGGGGGCGACGTCAAACATCACTTCCATCATTTGAAGGCTCTGCAGACACCGCGGGCACACCTGAGATGTGCCCTACCGTACACTGCATATTCTCACCGTCGATGTAAAGTTACTTTTCAGATCGAAGCCCGTCAATGCCCGCACTTTGTCCGGCAGATCACCCGAGCCCCTGAACACAGCAGCAAAAGGAGAAAAAAAGAAAAGGCAATCGTGTGTTGGCATCGCCTGGCCGTACCGCAGTGCCTCGACGGCAAAGGCGCTGACAGAAACACTTGAGAGAATCCCGATGCACTTGAGGGATCTGCCGTCCACTGGTCGTCCGCTGACATTGTAGGTGCGTCTCACCACGTCGGTACCCATCGCCCTATCACCTGTGACGTCACACGCTTTGCCTTATCCACCGTGCAGCATTGGAGCACCTCACCTTCGCTTTGCACGAGACCCGCCTTTGGTTCCCTCAGCGCAGGACGATGACGCAGGTACACCGCTCGCATGATTCTCACCCCTTTTGTGCTGGCCGCTGCCTCGATCTTGTCATATGGCAAGAGCCCTGACAGCATGTGCTTGTGAATGGACACCTCTCGCAAGCCGATTCGTCTCAAATGCTCTAACAACCCTTTCATGCCGCCATTCTTCTGCAGCGCTGCAGCGTCCGTCGCGATGTCCACATAGATCCCTCCCTTTGCGGCAGCAACGCCCTGCTGCTGAAACTTCCTGAGTTTGGCGTGCCATCGTCCGTCTGACGTTTGGTTCCGCCCAGCCTTCCTCTGTCGCTCGTATATAAGCTGCACAACGAGGAAGGGGGACAAGTTTGGCAAGCAGTCCGACAGGCTCTCCATCCCACCTCAGCAAAGATATCCACAAGGAGAGTGTCCACTTGCGACGGGAGGCTCGTCAGGCGCCGTACGACCGACGGGATGCTCTTGGCGAGGCCTTGACCATCCGCCCCAGCGACGAGGCATACAAAAAACGTAACAATGGTCTGAGGCGAACCAGGCCTGAAGGGCATCGTGCTTCGAGAAGGGCGACACGAAGGAGACGAACAAGTACTTCTACGTCAAAGAGTGTGTCGAGGAAGGTGCAAATCTGGTGCGTACTATTATTTCACACCACCTTTCCGCGAAGTGCTACCAAGTATGCGCTTGACCTTGTTTGTGGTTCTCTGGTTTTGTGGTTCTGAATCGTTTGAGGGCGACTCCTCTTCGATTCGGAACGACCTCAAACGATTCACGAAGCCCAGAATTGGCATCGACACCATCCTGGTCACGTTGCACTTCTTAGCACGGGAGCAGGTATAGGGGCTGAGAAAAGCACTGACATCATGATGCGGACCGTACGCATCTACCTTTCTCTTTGTCTTTGTGTGTAGCGTCTGCACGGAGCGACAAAGGGCAATGACGTCAGCGACCCCTTCACCGACTTCGATTCCCCAGCCCAAGTGGGTGTCCTGGCTGGCTCCAATTTCGACCGCTGGCGGGGCCTCTTCCGCTCGCCGTCGAAGCTGGCCGAGTTTTCCCGTGCGACGGGGACAAGGGTTACTCCGGAGGGCGTCTATGTGGACGTGACCATCAAGCAGAAGGCAGGAGTGAAGACGCTCGAGGCAACGCTACGGGCCTTGGGCATGCGAGATCTGGTCCGTTACGAACGCATCGTCTCGGGGATGCTGCCGTGAGGACGAAGGATACAGAAAGGATGCGGTTGCGCCTCTCATCTGGTCACACGCGTTGCCTGTCGACACAGATATGATTCGATTGGACGCATGCTAGATGTCGAAGGGATTTCAATTGTTCACGCTGTCAGAACGACGAGCCGCTGGCCGATGCGCGGCCACCGAAGGGATACGGGAGATGCTCCAAGACAGCAGCGTGACTGCAGCCGGCGTGTGGTGTCGCAGGGCGATAGGGCGATGGGTACCGACGTGGTGAGACGCACCTACAATGTCAACGGACGGCCACTGGACGGCAGATCCCTCAAGTGCATCGGTTGGTGGAGCAACGAGTCAGTAGGTCGACACGGAGTATGAGCTTATCTGACTCTTGCAGGCGTCTTGTCTGACAGTCACGATGGAGGCGATCTTAAGCAGAAGTGTGAACTACCGAGGAAAGTGGAAGCGTTGAAGGTAAGACCAATGCGGAGAAGGGAGTAGGTGGGCCCAATGGGTTGATTTGTATTATGTACTTGTTTGTCCAGAACTGTTTTTTCCTGTGCGCCGCACGGGTACACGGAAGAGTATACAGTGGTCACGGATGGCATTCCGCTCCATGTGTCCTCTGACTTGCTATAGGGCACTGGCATGATGGAGCTGATTTACGATGTTGTAACCGTTTTCTGCAGGTCATGATGGCTTTGAAAATGAAATCCATATGCATGTAGGTTCCGGGTCTGCCGAAATTCGTGTTCCATTCATCCGCTAGGGGAGAGGCTAGCCTTGCGACAGGTGATCGACGTGATGCAATTGATGCACAACAACCAGCCAGCCAATCATTGTTGTGCAGGCATCGAGCGGCTTGCCAAAGAGACAGAATGCGAAGTCATCGTGGACGACACTTCTTCGCAGTCCTACTACGAGTATCCACTTCTTTCGCCTACCAGACGAAAGCAGCAGGCTCTGGTTGCCTGGCTACTGCAGACCTTTCTTCGCTCCTGGCGTGGTCGAAAAGGCAATCGACAATGTCGCTCGTACGTCGGGGGTCTCGTACATTGCGGCGCATGGGGACAATGCAGACAGGGGGTAGGTGGTCAAGGGGAAAAGGGGTGAACGCATCTCGACGGAAATCCTTGTGCAGGTTTTGGGAGCCCTTCCGTTCTTCGGGCTTACGTGAGACCGTCGACTTCACGACATACGAGGACGCGATCTTCACGTACGAGTTTCACGTGTGGAGCGCCACAAACTCCACCTCACTGAATGTGACCCTCGTGGAGAATATGGGGGGCTTTGCGTTGGACCTGATCCTTCAGTGGGATCAGAATGTAAGTCACCGGTGGGTGAAGAGCCACGGTGTGGTCTGTCTGCTGTCTGTCTGTCTCTCTCTCTGTCTGACTGTTCTGTAGTACAAGAGCGTTGGTGGTGTGGGGGCACAGACCGACTTGGATCTCCTCGTCTTTGACAAGAATGGCGAGCTTCTTATTGCGGCGACCGAAAACAACAGGTGCTTGTATATGTGCGAGTCGTCAAAAGGCACTTGTGTGTTTCTATTTCTCCTTTTGAGTAGGAATAACGATCCGATCGAAGTGATTTCGCCGTTGTTTTCCGACACCTTCACGGACGTTACGATCAAAGTGGGCAAGTTCATCCCACCACTGGGAATCGAGTGAGTCGGTGTCGGTATCTGTCCCGAGGATGACGAGAAAACACACAAACATCCCTTTCCTTTCTTTGTGCCTCCTCAGTCCGGGGCCAGACCCGGGTGTGATCGCGCTCGTCAACCCTGATCTTGGTGACGGGACTTTGGCGCAGAACCTGTCAAAGTTCGCGCCGCCTAGCCGTGTGGTTTCCGGCTTCGGAAGAGTGAATGCCCTTGGCGCGTCGAGCGTAGGTGCCGCCTTCTACAACAGCACCCCAGCGTTCGGGACCGCGCCAGCTAAAGTCAGACGCAGCTCTTCGCGAGGCAAGTATAAGAGCCAGAAGAGCGTGCGTATCCATCTGGTGGGCTGCGTGCAGGTGCGTTCCAAAAGTCCTTTGATGCACAAGGCAGGCGCATCACCCCGCCACAAGCTCGAATGCGACCAAATTTCATAGGGCCTGATGGTACGAAAACGACCGACACGCTTTTGGTGACACGCTCATCGGCAAATTTCGCTTCAGGTACCAAGACGAGATTATAGTGAGCGCACGAACGGGCGTAGAACGATGCCTGGACGACCGATTATCTATGGCTCTGTGTGTGTTTTTTTTTTGTGTGTGTCTGTCGTATAAGTGGGGCCTCAAGTGAGTACTTCAGGCGTCAAGCGCACCAGTGGCTGCACGTGTAGTGTGTGCGCTTGAGTGAATCATCAGACTTCCGTGGCAGCACAGCGGCAGCGTCTCACATCGCCGGACTGGCAGGTCAGTGAGACAAGTCCACCCCATCAGAAAACGACGCACCTCTGTTCCTCTGCCGGCAGGCTTGATGCTAGACTTCGACAAAGCACTCAGGCCAAAGGAGATTCAGCAACTGGTGATGGAAACAGCTGACGATATGAACGGTCAGTGCCCATGTGCAGTCGAGGTGCCCATGTGCAGTCGGGGTGAGGCTTGTATTGCTCTCTCTGTGCTGATCCAGATCCCGCTACAGCCCAGTTTGACGAAGGGTTTGACTCTAAGACAGGTCAGGCAGCTGAGCAGAAGAATACGGAGGGCCTGGCCCATCTCAGTGTCATCTCTCTGTGTGTGACAGGCGCCGGCTTTGTCAATGCCGAACGAGTGTTCCAGAGGCTCAGCCGCCGCCCACGGTTGGGGGTGTAAGCAGTAACGCGTTCATTATGTCGACCCCGCGAATGTACGTGCGAGCATGGCCGCGACAGGGTCTGTCTCGCTCTGTGTGCCGATCTTTGCTTTTTATGGTGTCTATAGCTCATACACGTGACGCCTCCGGCTTGCGCGTGTGTTGAGGCATTTGTACTCGTAATTTGTCCGCATGATTCTTCACTGTCCTTCGTTTCTATTTTTTCGTCTTCGCGTGAATAGATGTCCGCGCAGGTGGGACAGAGTTTCATTCTACATAGAGTCAAATCACTGGCTACTCGTGGCTCGGCTCGGCCCTTCGGGTCTCACCTTCGCATAGTTTAAGCCTTCCCGGGGCACCAACCATCGGCCCCACGCACACATCGATTTTGGACTGGCAGCAACAGAAAAGGCATGCGCAGGGTGGCATAGTGGAGAGCCCAGATATTTACCACTGAAAGACCTGGAAGAACGAAGCGAGACGAAAAACGGAGAACTTCTTGATGTGACTCCTTTGACATACCACCGCCCCATTGTGGCAGAATTTTATGTGGGCAACTGTGGGCAGGTCGGGTCCTTGCAGAGATAACTATGCGGTTTCAGCTGCTAATTGGATGATTCGGGACCGAAAGGCTCTTGTCAGAGACACAATCCGCTTCTCAAACAATTTTGCAGGCAATGGTGTGGGCCTGGAAATCACCTTCAGACGACGGACGACAGCGTGGTGCGGTTTCTCTGGGCTTGTTTGCCCTGTGTCAGGAGAAAAAATATCACTTACGTTGGGGTGGTTTCCAAAATGATTCATTTTTCAGTGCCCCGTGAGGAGTAGGTTTTTATGTGTCAAGAACGCTGCGCCCGCATTTCTCAAAGTAAAAATGCGCAATCCCTTGCAGCTCATTTATTTGAGATGGGTACAGTAAGTACCGCCTAAAGCAATCAGTACAGGGCTGATTGCTTTAGGCGCTTGATGGGTGGTGGTTAAGGGTAAGATTGTCCGTGTGTCCAGGCGCTTGATTGGTTTATACGCACAAGCAAGTGATTGCTTTATCTCCTGTTTGTTTCATGCGGGGTTTCTCGCCGTGAATCACTCACCCGAGCCGCCCTCCACTACATTGACTCTTTTTTCCCCCCCTCAAATTTCTGAAGCGGCGAAAAACCATCCATTCTCAGATGGGTGCGGGTGGCTGGAGCCTGTTCAGCCATGTTGGGTGTCTCCGTGTGACGCCGTGTCGGTGCACAATGACAGAGTGATTCTTTCGTTTCTTGCCCGTTGCACGCTCATTGTCATGGCACTCAATGACATGTGAGACCTCTTAAGATCATTCGAACGCAGCAGAGTCCGTTTCACATGATATGAATTCAACCCACGCCTCAGACGTATGGATGGTAGATGGAGCGTGCTATACTGATCAGTGTAGGTGGATGGATGGATGGATGGATAGAATAGCAGACGAAAAATCGGTACCCACAAGCGTCTCATGTGAGGCGAAGCGCAGACGTCACATGACTTACGGCGTCAAAAATTGTCGTCGCGCTCTCGTCACAGCATCAGAGATAGGGAGTGCATCGGCGTACACGGAACCTAACTGGACATCGAAATAAGACTATCATCCCACGTCATATACGGCTAGTGAAAGTCGTCCGATGGCTACACAAATGGAATGAAAACCCGAAAAATCGGAATGGCCCGGATGGGCACAACAATGACAAGGTGCATATAAGCAGCATGTAAGACTCGGTCGCCCATACACTATCATCCACACCCACAATCCCCCCACAATGAATCACAGGCACTGTAGCTGAGGGAGGGCAGCACACGGGTGTACAAAGAACACAAATACTGAGCTGCACGCGCAGCTTGACTACCTATGCAAGTATTCAGACTGCGTGCACAGCCTGGGGCAGGATACCAGTTGTGTTTACGGTGCGCGGGTGTACGCGATACAGACAGAGGACACATAGGACAATCAAACTAATTCCACCACGAGTGGTGCAAAATGATCATGCAGCAATGGGCAGACAACCCACATGATCCGGGTGCTCCAGCTATGTAGCTGTTTACTGGTGTGCACCCTGCCCACCAGCAGTGTGGTTTGTGATCGGTCCGTCCTTTTCCTGTCGCCCCCCACCATCCTCACCAGACAGGCCGGGGAGCAATCCCAGATTCTTTTCCATGGGTTGGAAGCCCTTCGGTGGGCCAAAGTCTGCCAACCAACACAGCAAGCGTAAACACGACCAATGACCGAGTGGCAGACTGGACGGCCCCCTCCCACCCGTTCAGTGCCGTCCCCCGAGAGGAAACTCACTGACCTGGCCCCCATTCCTTTGCCAAGTCGTACGCGACCTTCATGCCTGTGCCCTTCGTGTCTGGCGATGCGAAGACAGTGTCGAGCGCATCCACGACGCCATTCCCACCATTCTGATAGATGACACAGCACGGTAGGGAGTAGAGCGGACAGTGCCCATTGCCAACGTACCACGATGAACCCCGTGAACAGCAAAGGGACCTGATGCAGACAGATACCAAAACGCAGCGCTTGTAGGGGTGCGTTCGGCGGTAATAGCACGCGCTGAACACATTGCGTACCGGCTCGCCGCTACGCTGACTGGTCGGGGCCATGCTGCTGTTGTTCTGGGGCGAGATGATGTCCTGGAGCAGGCGCCTCCTGGGACAGATGTTGAACACCAATGTGTAGCTCCTGCGGCAGGTAGTTAGAAATCGAATTGAGGGATCCATAAAGCACGCCTGAGATTGACACGACAGGGGAATCGTCGTGTCTCTTTAGGCTGTGTATGGGACGTACCATTTTCGCATTCTGCCGTGCCGCTTTCAACGATTTGCCAGTTCCAAAATAGAAGAGCTCCCTCACAGGCCGACTTCTGTCGTACTCACGGATCGCCTGCACACAAGTATGTCCGTGGACATGCAGTCCGGCGCAGCGTTGGGTCTCGGGTCTCAGTGAGCATCTCACCAAGCATCTCTCGGACTGGAAGTTGTCGTCACAACGCTTTCTAATGAACTTGAGGCAACACGCATTCACCTTGAACCGAGCCTCACCCCTAGTCCTGCCGAACCTGACGCACCAGAATCCCCGCGTTCCACCAGAGGCGGACCCACTTCCACCAGGGATAGCATCATCGAGGCCCCAGGCCAGCCACCGTCCCTGTTAGAAGAAAAAGGACAAGTGTCTGAAGACAGTCCGTGCTCGTCCCCTCACCACAAGGTCGTCGTACGTATTGCCGACGACGAGGTGCGCCCGAGGCGGCGGCTTACCCAATAATACAACTCGGGGATAGTTCAATCGCGAGCTGGAAAGAGTAGTAGAAAAACCCTAAATTTATTAACCCAAGGGATCGACCTCCAGCTCGCACAGAGGAAGTCCACCCCGCGTTTTTTGGAGAGTTCAAGTCTGAGCAACATCCAACAGTGGAGCGTTCCCACCGCCAAACAGCTTTTATGCACGTGTATGGGTCATCAGGGAGCTTGGAGTTTGGTAATTGAGAGCGGGAAACCATGGAAGACAACGAAAGATGGCCACATCTGCAGATGTCACAGTCATGGAAGATAGGCAAGGCGGGGAAATGGCCACATCTGGAGGTGAATTTCACGCGGATGAAGTCGGATACAGATGGTGCTGCAGATGAGGAGGCCGTCTGTTTCATCAGAAGGTTGTCTGTGTCCAAGCCACATCTGGAGGTGAATTTCACACAAGAAAGTCGGACACAGATGGTGCCATTACGTCGGTGCAGATGAGGGGGCTGTGCGTTTCGTGCGATGTGTTGCCGTGCGTGTGGAAGAAGGTTGTGTTGTGTATGTACAGGCACCTGCTCCCAGCAGCGTTGCTTCTGGCGAGGAGACGCGTCCATCCATCCATCGGCCGACGCGTATTCACTGCGGTGCTGTGCGTGTGTGGTGCAGGTGGCGTTGACTTATGTGCTGCTGTGTGTGTCCAGGCGATGTGTTGTCGTTCGTTTGGAAGACGGTGCAGGTGTGTTGATCATGAGTTGGTCTGTGGTGTGATTGCGGTGGTGTGGTGCAGGTGGGGGAGATATACATGCAGGTGAAAAGCACAGGGCACAGAGAAGCGCGTCTGTGCATGCATGTGTGTGTGTGTGTGTGTGTGTGTATGTGTGCAGGTAGGCTACTCAGTGATGGTAGCGAGTGCACTGCTGGATGCACTGCTGGACGCGGATGCGCTGCTGGAAGCACTGTTGGGCGCTGGAGGCGCACTTGGCACTGAATTGCTGTGAGTGAACAAGGTAGGAAGGAAGGAAGGAAGGAGATGGGATGGATGTGTGATTGTGCTCGTGTGCGTGACTGTATGTATGTGAGGAGCTTACGCCTTGATGATTTTGTATTTGACGATGTGTGGTTCGTTGCAGGTGACGTACGGGCAGTGAGTGTGGTACATCTGGGCATCTGCTGGGACTTGTTCCCCGTCCTGATACACGTAGAGTGTCTCGTCGCTGGGGGTTGGGGAGAAAAGGATGGAGTGAGAAGAGGAGTGCAGAAGGAGACCAACGCCCGCCGGTGTTCAAGCCAACCAGCTCGCCGGCGTCGCGATGCGGGCCCGCCTGCCTGCGTACCGGCAGCTGACTGACAACCAGCAATTCCACATTGCCGACCGGGTGCAGAACAAGCGCTATGATGCCGTCACACTCTTCGGCGTGCGCCCTCCAAAGCTTCACTTCATCGGCAGCATTGAGGAATACCTCAAGTGGGCTCTGCTGCACTGTCGCACGATGTCGAGCCCGTCACGGTATTCTGTGAATGTTTGCAGGCGTCTGCAGGTGGTGCGCGGTCAGTTCGTCGGCGAGGACACAAATCAACCAAGGCGCCAAGAGGACGTTGCGGCTTCCCCCCTGCTATGTGGTGAAAATTCGTCGACGCTACCTGCAGCATGTAGCCACCACCGCCCACGAGCGGCTCCCAGCGCAGATTGTCCAGGATGGGGTGCAGCTGCTGCATCCCGTCCTTCACGAGCTCATCGAGCCCCTGGCAGCACTGGACGTGCAGTGCGGTGACGCCCTTCGTGAAGCGACCAAGAATCCTGCCACTGACTCGGCGTTCTTCGACCGTTTCGCCGAGTGCGGCAAGCGGTCTTTCGGCAAGTTCGGCCAGCGGCTGGATACGATTGTCGTCATGTCGCATGTGACACTCATGACTACAAGCCGCTTCCTCAAGTATGTCCTTCTCATGCTGGGCCTGTTCTTTGACGGCAACCTGCAGGAGGCCTTCGACCGTGCCCGGCTCGTCCCAAACCGGCCCCCGACCCAGACAGACGCCCTCGCCATCGCTCGCCGGTACACGATGGAGGTCCTGCACTTCGAGCCCGCCAGCACCAAGTGAGTCGACTGGACAGCTGCGAGGACCACACAAGCCCTGTGTGTGTCTGTGTGTGCGGATGTCTCTCTCCTCTGTCCTTACAGCATGTTCTGTTGCTACCTGGAGTCTGCCGTCGCCGCCATCAGTGATGTCCTTTTGCGCAACACTATCGCCTACGCGGGCACGCCACTGGTACGGCATAGGACACAGCTGCAATAGTCCCAGCCGGCCCCACACCCCCCGACGACGAGAGGGGGGTGTGGCGGCCGGCTGGCTGGCTGGCTGCGTACTGCACGAGAGTGCGTCGCTCACTTCCTCCTTTTTCTTCTCGCGTGTGTCCCACCCTCACATCGACACGACAACGCTGCGGTTAGCGACGTCCGAGGCGTTGCAGGCCGCCATGGATGTGCAACGCAATCGGCTTCTCGACTTCCTCGAGACACATTTTATATGAAGCTACGCACGACACACGAGAACGGGCTGGTGTTCTGTTCTCTATCGCGCTCTCTTTCTCTCTCTTTTTCTCTTTCTCTCTGCGTGTGTGGGCGTGCATGCTGGTGCCTATGCTGTGTGTTAGCGGGCGATTGTATGTGCCACGGCAATCAATGTCAGGTGTTTTCCACATTTTTTGGTTGACTTCCGTTAACTGATGATGTGCGTTGCAATGATCGTACCCGGCCTGGCCCAAGACAAGCACAAAGCACAAACTCCAGTCCCTTTCTTCCCCACGAAACGCACCCAAGTCCAACACCTCGAGATCCCCTTCCTCGTTTTCTCTCACCTCCACACGTCCCAGAGAAACAAACACACAGAAAACAAGTGCAAGCACACAGGCACGCGACATTCTCTATCACTCTCCGTCCGTCCTGGAGCTTCTCGTGTTCTCCTCCGTCCCGGCCGTTTTGGCGCCTCCGTTGCAACCGCTGCGTTGCACAACCGCCGCGTTGCCGTCTCAGATTTGAGGGGTTAGGGTGCGCGGTTTTACGGTGAGTTCACGATGGCATGAGCGCATGCACGGGCGTCGTGTTGTCCGAGTAGGCTATTTGTGATTTTGGAGGTCTGAATGGCTCGGGAGAGAAATATCACGAGTGATGTTGTTGAGGGGTTAGGGTGGCACTGCGCGGTTTTAGGGTGAGTTCACGATGGCACGTCTTGCTGTGTGAATGTTGGGGTGCGCGTTTTCATGTCGGACGGTCAAACGGAGGAGAAAAAATCACGAGGAGAAAGAATAAAGATTACCACACGAATTCACATGGACACAGTCTCACTCTGCGTGTCCTTTTCCAGCTGGCGGCAAGTACCAGGCGGCCAGATAGATCCATTGCCAGCACTGGAAGCACTCAGCGAAAATGGGTGCCAGCAATGACCTTCCCCGTCCTTGTCTCTATTCTCTATTCTGTGTTGTTTCTCGAGATTTTGTCTCCTGTCGATTGCTCGAAGTCAACGCGCGCTCCAACGAGGACAGCTCTCCACCCAAAAACAGCAACGTGCCGTTCTGAAAGGACGCCTGTATGTCCTTTGGGCCATCCATGTCAAAATATTCCCTTGTCAAGGCGATGAGGGAGCTACAGCAACAATGACTTGGTGCGCACACTTTGAGTACTTTACGTCTGACCATGACTTAAATCATATATGTGTCTGAGTGCATGGGTGGGTGTGTCTGAATGAGTTCATTCTCAACAACTCAGTCGATAGATATGCCAGGTGAGCGCACTATCCAGTACCGCCGCGTCACTTACATGTCTCGCTACCCGTCCGCCGTCAGGACAATAGTCATGGACACAGTAAGAAGGTGGAGAGTTTCTGTGTCCATGCGATGGGACAGAGTCTTCCGTTCCACCCGCGCCACTCACGCCACGCACAGGAGACGACAGAGCGAAAGACAGCCGAGAGAGGCCGAGTGCCCGCTGAAGAACATGCAGGGCAGACTGCGAAGCAATCGAATGCATTTCTACCCACCCGGCTATTCTACGCAACACAATCAGTCGCTCAAGCACACGACAGAGGAAGCAGCATGCCGCAAAGAGGTCAAAAGAGTGTTCACTCAGGTCTTTTGCAACCCACCAGGTCAAACTCAAAGGAAAGGGATGGACGCAAGCAATGAAGGTCAGCACCTCCTCATCCCAGACTAGGTGAGGCACAGGTTGCTGCACCAATGCACGCGCAAGAGGCTGCGTTATAGAAGGCTGCGTTTGGGTGTGCACATGTGCGTGTGGGGACGAGCCTCTCTCATGCCATCTGTCGAACGAACACGTCTGAAAATCACATAGGTGAGTCCGTGCATCCCTTGCAAAAAATATGCACATCCATCAACGCGGTACAACAATTCCCCTCGATCACACATTCTGCTGACAGACACCCTATGCTTGCCGAGCAGAATCTTCCTGCACCGAAACTTCACTCTTCCTTCTCCTTCTCCTTTTCTGCATCTGCATCTGCGCAAATCGGTTCTGTATCTGACAGACACAAGACAACAAGAGGAAAGACAGACTGTGAGGGACTGTGAGGGACTGTGAGGGAGTGAAGCCATTGCGATCATTAATCAATTTCATGTCTGTCTGCGGCTGACCCTATTCTGGATCTGTGCTCCGACTGGCCGCTGAAAGACAAGACACAACTCAACAAACACAGACGTGTGGTTGTGTAGTGTGGGTGACAGATTCACATGCATTAATACGTCTGCGCAGGATGACGAGGATAGTATCGTCAGGGAGCCTCCCTCTCTGCCTCATTAGTCTTTCATCAGGGGGGAAACTGTCATTAACCGTAACACTCGTCTGTCTGTCCGTGATACTCATACAAATACAGTCCCATCAGCACGCAGAGTCAAACAGGCTCAAGGGGAGGAGGGATCAATCCCCGCCCCATCAGCACACCCCAGTCCCGCAAACCCTCCCCTCCCTCCCCCACGCAGACAGAAGCTAGTCGCACGCGCGAGGGCGATAGACAAGCGAGAGCGAATCCATCCAGACACATGACTGAACCCCCGACCCTTCCACCCCTCCTTCTCCAACAGCGCATGAGCCATGTGGGCGATGAACACGTTGGCATCGTGTCCCCACACACCGTCACACGTCACCACCAGAGGGCAGAAGGTCACGCGGGAGTCGCAGACGGCCGAGCGGTATTTCTTCTTCTTGGCGGTCTCGTGCTGCTTCAGGATGGACTTGGTCGATCGGTTCTTGGAAGCGTAAGACGTTGCGTCAGGATCCGTAATACAGATGTCAAACGACGCAGCCGCCTGCCGCTCCCACACGCCCCGAGCGACGATGTCCGCCCTGACCCCACCCTCCCCCTCCTCTCCCTCCTTCAACACCACCTCCCGACGCACACCAGCGTCCCCCCACGCCATCCCAATCAGCTCGGCAAAAGTGTCCCGCAGCTCGTCGTGGCGACGAATCACCAGGCCGTACCGCTTGCAGCACAGCGCATGGTCGACGGTGAGGGGCTGGTTGCAGTGGTCGCAGCGTGCAGCGAGGCCGGGGGGGTGACGGCCGTAACGCATGTTGAGGGCATCTCGAAACTCCGCAGCATCAAGACCAGTGTTGTTGTCTGTCGACGGGAGGGTGGTCAGCCAGCCGGACGTCTTGTACTCGGCGCTGCGGGAGAGGACGCGATGGCGCCGGCGGTCGATGTGCGGCAGGGCGGCCTCCCTCTTGGTCTTGTGGGCGACGTCCTGCTGCTGCTTTCTCCGGGTGAGGGCGTGGCGGATGGTGGCACGATGGTCGCCAGGGTGGAACGGACCTTAGTCTTTCATCATCGTCAATCCCGGTCACCCCTTGGATCATCAGATCATCCGCCGTGACGTCCACCCACGGCCAGACCACCCTCTTCATGCATCTTCAACATCATTGCACGCAGGTCCCCGAGGTCGGCTGGCAATGCGTCAATCGACCACTGCAGGCTGCATCGTCATTTGGGCCTCATACTTCTTGTCTGGCCATAGTCCGGGGAATGCCCTGGAAAGCCGGCTGCCCGAAGATCCGTCATGCAGCACCCCCAAACACCCGTATGTTTCACATATCAACACCCCATGCAACATAATCGCGTACCTGACACACGGCCGTTGTCGCGTAAATTCATCACCACACGTACGCGCGGTATTGTATTGTCCAAGCATCAGAGCATCAAGTAATGAAGACGGACATAGTGGCGGTGGCCGCATTGGTGGCTCTCATCCAAACGGCGTCGGCCTTACCGGAGGAGAAAAAATTCCTCCCGTCAACAGAAGGTGAGTCACAGATGGCGGTCAGGGAGTGCTTGGTCAGTGCCATGCATGTGTGTAGATGGCGGTGACGTCGATGCTCTCCCCCGTGCCATCGCGGGCATTATCCAAGACATTGAAACCGCCGTACGCGACGCCGGATCATATCGTTTTCTGTTTCCCTGACAGTGTACTCTGATGCGTCATATCAGGCTGACGGCAAGCCGGTCATCAGTGATGTCACGCACGTCATAACCGAGATGGGCAAACAACTCGGCAAGATGGCGGCGCACGATGAACCCGCCAAGAAGGAACAGGCTTGCACGCTGACGGAACTTGCGGAGAATTTCCTTGGTGGCGCTCTGCCAGCGGCCTGCGCGGAGTTGCCTACCGACGTGGCGGAGGTCTCAACCTTTTTCACTAACTGCATCTTGAACACGTTTCTGGAAAAACAGTTGGTGAATGAGGCAGTCGGTATGTTTGATGAACGGCTTGATATAAACAGACGCCAGTTTGTCACCTGTGCAGGTCTGACGTTTGTGGCCCTGGATGGTTCGCCTGAGCTGCAAGACGCGCTCGCCGACGAGTATGTCGCCTGGGCAGAGGCCAATACTGAAAACGCTGACGAGGCCAGGCTCACAATCTGTAAGCCAGGATAAGATGCATGTGAGCAATGAAGATCCCCGCCTTCTCCTTTCCTGCAGTTGCCGCTCGCGAAGAGATTGAGCGGTGTGGGGATGAAACTGATCTTGCGAGCTGGGACGCGGCCGTCACACCTGATACCAGCGGCGGACGAGGAGGCGAGCCCCTGCCCCTCAACCGTACCTCGTCTGCTGAGAAGTGCGTGGACATCTTGCTGGTCCTCAAACCAGGCTTCAGCCTCGACGTGATCGAGCTGGTGGTAGAGGCCTTCTTCAAATGCGTTGCCAAGCTTGAAGATCCGGACGTAGAAGCTGCTATCAGTATGAGAGAAAACTAAGACACTCAGACACACACACACACACACAGAGCGAGAGAGAGAGAGAGACGCAGAGCAGCGGGTATGTGAAATGTGTCTTCTCTTCCCTTTTGTGCGTCAATCCTTTCGTGCGTGCAGCGGCTGCGTTCGTCGCTCTTTTCGCAAACTTCGATGGTGGCCCTCTGAACGAAATTCAAAAGGAGTTTATCCGTAAGCAGGCGGGCAATCAATGTGCAGACAGACAGACCTACCGAATGCGTCTGATGTCTTGTTTGTGTTGTGGCTTGCCTGTGTGTGTACAGTTGCGGGCTTTGTGTTCTATTTCTTCGATCTCGTTCAAGGAATCAAACCCACGCCCACACCTGCTGCAAGTGAAGCTGCTGCAATTGCTGAGCAAGTGACAGATGCCCAGCAGAACTGGCTGGACAACTTCTTCGCCGAGTTTGATAAACTGGACGTTGATGAACAGCAGGGAGTGATTGGTACGGGGCATTCATACAATTATGCACCCGAACGAATGCGATATATGTCTTCCTGTCTCGCGTGTGTGTCGACAGAGGATCTCGCCAAGCGATTCGATGTGAGTGTCGAGTTCGTTGAAGATTTTCTCAACCAATATGCCGGCGGCAACGTTGTGTAATTTCTGTGGCATACATAGACGCAGAGCGTGCCACACGTAGTGCCTACACACGTGGCAATGCCACTCTTTTTTGTCTTGCTATGCGCACACATACACCGGTGCAGTGGCGAGCAAGACGCCTGCACGAGCCTGACGTACTTTTTCCGTCTCTTGCCGTGTCTGTGTTTGGGTGATATATGCAGCATTTATCGACAAGGTGCTCGGCCGAACTGACTGTGTGTACAAGCTTGTATGTTTCATTGGGCCTAGCCAGCGGCAGGGCAAAATAAATAGCCAGGCCAGGCGGGACTCTTTTTCCCTCTCGGCTCTACAGCTATGTAACTACTAACAGTCCTGCTCTCTCTGCTCCCCCTGTATGTATGTTATGTATGTATCTGTGTCTACCACTGAAGTGCACGAATACATACATATAGACACCTCAAAGGGATGGAGTGGGGGCACAAAGGAGGTCCCTTTCACTCAATGAGATCAACAGATCGATGCATGCGCCAGCGAATGGCATGAATAATGTCATGTCAGATAGTATGCGCTATGTGCCTGTGAAGAAGACTGTCATACATGTACATGTCACAGCATGGCCATGATGGAAACAACAGGTGCTTGTATGTGTCAGTGGAAGCCACTTGTGTGTGTGAAGTGACTCGGTTGCGATCACGGTCAATGCTTAGGGATAATGGGCCTCGCTGATACATCACTGTGTGGCCCGTAATTGGCGAGCGGCATACATCTCTGTCTGCCTACATGTCTGTATTCAGGTGACAGCGCCGGCCACCTCAAGTCCACAAGTGCAGAGTCCACGAGTGCAGACTCTGGTCCACGACGGCCGTGTGTGCAGCCATCTTTCAGGTCGACAAATACCGTCCCCCCGCCTCCCTCAATCAAGACGGCGCTCCTTTCTTCTCGCGGTTCACAGAATCTACAGTCAACGAAAACGAGGGCATCGACCGACTGCCACATGAATGGCAAGCAACAGCAAGTCATCTATCTCAGGCGACCGTCAACGCACACCGTCGCCGCCCTTCCCTCTCTCATACTTCCGTTCCGTCAAGAAGCTGAATGGACAAGTCTCCGCCAGGGAAAATCCCACGAACACCCTCAGAGACGACTGAGAAGGATAGTACAGCGGCGTGCCGTTGATGTTATCCGTTTTGTCTTGTCGAGCCGCCTGCTTTGCGGCAGCTGTAGGTGTTGCAAAGGATATCGGTGCGTCGCCTTGCAGCCACACGGTGTGGATGTTCAGACCATTGAGAAGACCCTCGTTCCCGAGGGCCTCGAGAGCCCGCTCGATTGTCGGCTTCCTGCCTTCTGGCCCCTGGTCGTCTTCCTTGCTCTGGTAGCCCCAGATCTGGCGCAGCTCGCCGTTGTCGGTCACAAAGACGAAGAAGTCCCAGCCCTGGAATTGGGGGTTTTCAGGGTCAACCAAATAGGATACAAAGCCTTCATTCATGTTCTTGCGCACTCCGTAACGATTGAACCATTCAATGAGCTGCGGCAGGTCTCTCGCTTCTCGAACAGGCAGTCGCACGATCCCTGCGAATGGGCACCCACGATAACTTGTCACCGGAGGCGGCAGAAGGGCTGCTGGCATGCCGGTCAGCAACGATGTGGGCGACTCGGATCCATCCATTGCCGTAGTGTGGCTGTCCAGCAGTCGCAGAAGTACGGCAGCCTTGACCACCCCCTCCCACCACTTCCCAGAGCCTCGGGGCTCCAGCAGCCGTCTCAGGAATCGGTCCACCATGCCGATGCTGTTGATGAAAGGACCGCCGAACTTGGTCACAAGCTGGTCGTTCTTGGGGAGGGACATTGCTTCGCCCACAAGTGAACAAGCCTTTCCCAAATAGCAGGGAGGCCACACGCAACCCTCGCCGTAGACGTCTAGAGCGCTCGTCATCGCGCCGAGTGACTCAAAGTAGGCAGCGCTTGGATCTCCCTTGAGTGCCGAGCGGATGACAGCCGGGGCTGTGGACGTGTCAACGGATTTGCTGCTAGTGAAGTGCTTCAGCACATCCTCCTTGTTCGAGGAGGTCTCGCTCCGCCGGTAGAGCTCGAACAGCAGTGCAGGTGCCCGGCCAGTCCAGCATATCTCTCCAGTGCTTGCAGAGGGGCTGATGGCCAGCGCCTCGGTCGGCTCCTCGATACGGGGGAGCTCGAGCTTGTAGACGTCACGTGAGCCTCTCTGGTCGACCCAGTAATCCCTGATGCTCTTGCCCACTGTGGCATCGTGGCTCGAAAAGATGAAATAACGATCTTTCGCTCCGAGGCAGCTAAGGATGAACTCAGCTACCGCCCTCGCCTCCGATCCTTCAACAGTCAGTGCCGGCAAGGTCTCCTTCGTGACAAGCTGGTCTAATTTGTCAAAAAGGAGAATCAGGGGACCGGTGAGCCATCTATCCAGAAGAAGCGGATCAAGAGAGACGTGGTCTATCCAGTCTTCGAACGAGATGTCACCCGGGTCCTTGCCGATCTGCTCCGCCAGACTCGCGACTGTCTCCTCTGTTGCACATGCCCACGTCATCCGCAGCACTATTGAGTCCAGCAGAGTCAACTCGCCGCGCTTGTGGAGCTGGGCCTCATGCTCGTTCAAGCGAGTTTGTCCGGTGAATGCTATGAAAAGCACCGGCTTCTCACGTCGTTGCAGCTCGTTCCCGAGCTCCTTGAGGGCCCGCGTCTTGCCGCCTCTCATGAACCGCGTTAGCGCCACAGGGCCCACCCGAAAGTCCGACGTGTCATAGCTGGCGAACAGTGGCAAAATGTAGTCGTCGACCACCCCTAGCAGTCTGTCGAGGCCCACGTACTCTTCAGGCTCTGGACGGGAGAGTGTCGTCGGGACGGACGGGGATTCTGACACGAGTCTTGGCACGTGTGGAGAGTCACGCTGATTGGCGGAGCTTGTGAGCTTGTCCAGCGAAATGAGGTGACTAGCCGTGATCGGGAAGTCGCTGAAGCGGCGGGCTGGTCCAGCGACGGTATCTGCATGGTCATACATAAACAAACAAAAGGAGTGTGTGTGAGTCACATATCCCCTTCCGGTCCTGACTTGAGATAGCCCACCATGTGGCTCATTGGCCTCCTCTTGACTCATGTGAAGGACGCGAGGACAGCTGCCCGAACGGTGAGATGATGGACTGGGCCGCCTTGTTCAGTGGTGTGCGTCTGCTGAGGCCACTGCCAATCAACGAAGGCCGAAAGGCCATCAACAGTGGCAGCATGAAGAGAGAGATCCACAGCATAATGGCCATCCGGAAGCGACGAGCCAGAGGGAGGCAAAGCGAGCTGCTGCTCAACCTGTGAACAGGAAAAAAGGAGAGCTCAACCTGTGAACAGGAAAAAAGGAGAACACAGACAGATTCTGCAGCCAGACATGTGATTGATCTGATGTGTTGTGGTGGCACCCACCATCGGCGTTGAGGTGAAGACAGGGGTGAGATCTGACTCATGGTTGAACAATAGGCCACAGGAATTCGAAGAGCTTGTCTGTCTGAGTGGATCATGGGTGGTGAAGCGAGGGACGCAGCGACAGGGGGGTTTGATGGGACACCTGTCCCTAAGCCCGGCGCAGAAGCCCCGTCATCTGTCGTTCTCGTGCTCAGGCGTGCGCCAGGCAAGGCTGCGATAGCTTTTTTTTCCACGGAGGGCGAGCGAGTGGATTTACTGACTTGAAGGAAAACGGACTCGGACGCTTCATAATGTGGAGAATGTCAAGAATCAAGAATGTCAAGGTGGAGTACGATTGCGTATGACTTCTGTCTCTAAAAGTACTCAACTTAGTCGAAGACGCAGTGCAGTAGATCAAAAATCTCAATCTATCAGCGGCAACACCAGCACACACGTGAGGCAATCCGGAGAAAATTTCTGCCTCGCCACCCGCCCATGTGACGACTATCCATGCATACGCCGCAATATCTGCACCATTAGGCCTAAATCTCATGAATAAATGGACGTGCAACATACCTAATGCAAAGGAAAACCAGGGAAGCCGTGGTCAGCGACAAACAGCAAAACACACCTCGCAGAGGACAGATACGCTGAAATATGAAAGTGATGAAAGTGCAGAACAAGAATGATGATAGATAAATCGCGGTTAGACACATACGTGTATCATGTACACTTGTGCACAAAACACAATGAAGGAGAGAGCACTTCATCATCTGAAAAATAGAAAGGTGGTCAAGCTTCTGCACGGCGTCCTCCACTACGTCCGCGTTGCAACGACTAAGTACACGGCGTCCTGCCGAACGAGGCGCCGGCCACATCGTCGCACTCCGTCCACTCAATTAGTCCCACCCGGCGAGCACTAGAGAAGGCAGCAGACAACAGCAAGCAAATGTGGACAGAGCTCAATTATGTCTGTGCGTCTGCTCTTCTCTCACCGTAACATCAAGCATTGCCTTGCCTGTGTCCCCAGTGAGCCCTCCGAGGGCAACGAAATAAGACCCCGGCTGCAGCAGCCTCTCAATCTTCGGATTTAGGTTGTACGGCCCGTCGTCATTGGCGAAGATGCAGGCCTCAGGTTCACCGCAACAGTCGCTGAGCAGCGCCAGGATGGGATCGAAGTTGTTCGCTCCCGTGGCAATGCGGACAATGGCAGCTTCGGTGATCTCCAGGGGATAGATCTGTGTCCATGTCCCAGCGCCACGAAAGCGGAAGATTGAGCCGTCCCCCGGTGCACCCCTGCAGTTGACGTATCCACGAATGCGACTCGAGTTGTCGGCGTTGGTGACATTGACGCCAAGGCTGCCGCATCGCAACGTCGGGGATATGCCTGTGCCTTGACTCGTGACCTGTCAGGTGGCAAGACACATGGATGGATTGCCTCATAGTTTAGATAGATTCAGCTGACCCAATCGGGGCAGGAGGATTGCTGTGCACCACAGGCTGCAGGCGACCAAACAAAGAAGGCAAACATACACATTACTGTTATCCCCTCGTCGGTCTTCCGTACTCTTATAGAAGCAGTCAGGAGCAAAAAACGAAACAGGCAGCTCGTCATAGCAGCAGTCACGGGCCTATTCACATCAAAAACCTATCATTAACGCGTTTTGCCCATTGAGCGACTCACCAAGCACTCCTCGGATGACAGAGAGACATTGGTCCCCGCGCAGATACGACGCTCTCTCGCCGCAGCCAGGTCTGTGATGCACCTCTCTGCACCACAATAGGTGTGTGGAGCCATCATGTTTGGCCTTTCCCAAGCTATCCTACCTAGCGGCTGACCGATCGTGTCGTTGTTCGCTTTGTGATCAGCTGGGGGCTTGACATGGATGTAGGTGACCAGTGGCGGGCCTGCAGAGCCTTGGCCAGCAGGCGGCACGTACTGCGCGCGGAGGACAAAGGTCTCTGCATGATGAGGTCCTAGCTGCTTCTTCAGGCCTACGTGTACAGAAATGGGGAACGAATGAAAATGAAACCGAAACATGCACGCCTGAGTGAGTACCTTGCGTCTTGCCCTGAAAGAGGACGTCCGTCAAACTTTCGAATTGAAAACATGACAGACCTCCACTACAGCCTGCCTTGCTCCTAGCCGTCGAGGTGGCAGCGAAGGGGAACGCTGCCTCGGTGACGGCAAGAACACCACCATCCGCTTTCTCGGAGCCGTGCAGCGAAACCGTGGTAGTGTGCCCAGCCTGGGTGTCATAGTGGAGGAGCGTGTAGCGAACCTTCCCATTGGACCTGGACTTGCGCGTCAGCACCGAAGCTGTTGCACACACAATCGTCACATGGGTTGACGAGCATCACGCACCTATGCAGACGTACCCCACGTGTAGTCTGACTCCAAGCCGGGGGTCAAGTACGTCTTCAACGGATAATCATACGGCACACCGATAGGGTCCTTGGCCACCGATCTCAATCGCTTGGAGTGATCTTTCTGGTTGCCCAGGGGCACGTAGACAAGCCCACCCAACGCATTGGCAGGGCCTGCACACCAACAAACAATGCTCATCGCCAGAAGCCCCTGCACTTATCCGTACCTCTCGCCATGTATTCGCTGACGGGGATTCGGGTGCAGCTCTTCGGTCCGGCCACAGCACCGGCGGCTATTCGGTATGATTTGCCCATGCCAGACCTGAGGTGACAGCCCCGCTGCTCGGAGTAGCTGAAAAACCTGCACGCCTTGGTGTCCTGGCATTCCTTTTGGCATTCGTTGGCCGAGGCGGCCTTTTCTCGTGCCAGCTCGGCGCCGAACAGCTCGTGGTCCAGCCACCACTCGGCACAGCGCATTGCAGGACCTGACAGAGAGAAACAGGAGGAGAAAGTGAGATCGGCGCGCAGTGCCACACGCAACGGCAAATACCTGCTTTCTTCAGTCCACTTGTTTCGATTGGCTCTGGGTTTGCAGACGTGCTGTCCTTCGCCGCGTTTGCCAAAGTGAGCCAGACGGCAAGGACAAGAAACCGCGACATTGCAGGAAAGAAAGGGGAGGAAGCTGAAAGTGCTACAAGCGCTGTATATCTTTGCGTCGTTTGCGATGCCGTTGCTGCTTTCGGGTATCGCGTGAAACTGAGGCCACGCCAGCCTTGAAATGCAGGGCCGCACAGCCGTCATCCGTGCTGCCCGGCTATCCCCCGTCGCGCCGCGATGGCCGCGGCCATTCGCAACATCGCGCTACAACCCATCGACGAGCAGCACATTCGGACCCTCAAACACCCGCGTCGTCATCAGATCAGAGCCGGACGCGCCCCTCCCTCTCGCCCCTTCCTCTCCCGAAGCTCTGCTTGTCAAAGCAAAGACGAAAGTGAAGGAGATCATTACTCGGCTGACGAAAGGGAAGGGTGAAGGGAAGAGTGATGGATTGGTGAAGCCTGGGGAGGATTGGATGACGGGGTGCGGCAAGTGGTTGGATGGAGTCATTGTGCGGGCGGAGAGGCAGCAGGTGGACAAAGGTCCGCTAATGATCGTCCTCGCAGCAGGTAGGGCAGCGAAGAACAGACAATAACGACCGTGCGCCTTGTGTGTTCTTGTATCTTTTGCTGTTCAGGCCTCTGGTTGATGCTTTCTGGCACCACTTACGTGGTGCTGTCCATCGTGCCGCCCCTTCTATTCAAGACCCGGCCCCGCACTGACGAGGAGATAGACGCTATCATGCGCTCGCCCGCCAGTCGCCTTCTGCGCTTAGCCGCCACTGGCGGCTTGACCGCCATGTGCTACCGGCCATCCATCCCGTACTATATTCGGATGGTGAACAAGAGCACCGTGGGCCGGGCTCTCTACGGCGGGTACAGCAAGGGCAAGCGGGGCGTGATGGTGATGATGCGGCTGTTTCGGGACCACCTATTGGATCCCGAGTGGTCCGTGATTTGGTGGAAGCGGTACATTGCCGAGTCCCGCTTGCACAAGCACCCGATGGACTACATCATCGGGCCGGCGGTCAAGTACGGCACGCGGCTGAGTTTCGTGCTGCCGGCCTTCTCCATCGTGGCGCCCTTCTTCTTCCTGAGACACTACAGGTGGGAGGCACTTCCAGCTGAGAGTTCGTGGCCATGCACGGAAGTACACGTGTGTCTGTATCTGTGTGGTGTGTACAGGGAGGGCGACTTCAAGAAGATGGAGAAGAAGGGGGAATCCTTCCAGAGCGCACTGGAGGATGTGGAGAAATATATGCAGGACCAAGCTCACCAAAATGAGACCCGGAAATTCCTCGTGCATACATGGTGAATGCGCACCAACCCATTTGTGTGGGAGAGGCAGGCATGGGGGGGCAGCATGCAGACCGGCGGGAAGGGTGGATGGGTAATAGAAGAACTGAATGCAGCGGTTGCCGCTTCCTGACGGGTCAGAACACTGCTGAGGCGGACATCAAATGAAGCAGTTTACACTTCTGAAGATCCTCGATGGAACATCACCATCCTGTCCTTTCTAGACACCGACACATGTGTGCTTTCCATTGGGTTTGAGGAGGGCGAAGCTGCTGGCAAAAACCCTCGCCCACAAAAAAAAGGGGGGGGGGGGGGGGGGG